AGTTTGCAGAGATGAAACGCGAACGCGTCAATTTCTATACCCCAAATATTTTTGGTTAAAGATTGAAGGAGATGGGAAATAGCCTTTGGATCATGCCACACTGAAGGACATTGTTGTGCAGCAAGTGTTATACGATGAATGAATTCACAAAGAAAAGATCCTATTCCCATACAAGGGTCCAACACCTTTGGAGCTTGAGGATAAATGCTCCAAGGGGGTGACGCGATCGAAGATTGACCAATTTGATAGCTCATGACATTTTTTGATTGAAAAGAGCCTCCAAGAAGTTTTTCAATCCATGTACCATTCCCTCTACCAAGTAAAACACGATCCCACATAAACCTCATAACTTCTCTCGGCGTGTAAAATTGTCCGTGATCTTTTTGATGTTCTTTTGCAAACACATTTAAGAAGTGTTTTGTATAAAACATTGATAGTATAGATTCGGTAATATCTAATGAAGAGAAGTAAATTGATAATTTTCTAAAACGGTCCGAAAGATCACAGTGATATTGAGGTTGAGGTCGTATAATCCCACGATAATACCAAAAAAATGCTTCTAGATCACTATTATTTGGTTCTATTTCGATAGGTGAAGAGTGATACAATAAAAAATTGTCTGCATCATCAAAAATGTTCATGAACTTTTCTATTGATAAACGTCTTGTATGTGGCCCTTCTTCACGCTCACACAAAAAGTCCATAACGATGATATCAAAAAACAAATGGATCACAGTTAGAAAAGCAGCCATCTGGCAGTAAAAATTAAATACATGACTGTATAATTCTGCGTCGGAAGATAATGTTATAGAAGTGTTTGAAGGAGAAAAAATGGAACGTAGATGTTCTACGGTTTTTATGAGAGGGGGTTTAATGTTTGTAGGTTGTGTGTAAGAAGACTCGTTCACAAGCTTATTAAACTCGCGGATAAAGCTTGGGGGTATTATATGATCTAAATCGGGAAAATTTGGGGAACATATAAAAGAAACAAATTATTTATTATTTATTTTATAAGCACGCGTATTATAAATATAGTATATAAATAAATCAAAACATGACAAAAATAAATAAAAAAAAAGGAAAAAGAAAAAGAAAAAAAAACTTTAGCATTTATTTTCAATTTACATTTATCACTTGTAGATTTTGTAGTTATTTACTTTTTATTTTTTGGAGGTAAAATAGAAGAATATTTTACCTCTATTTGGATTTAGGACAGTCCTCCATATATCCACCTTTATTTCTTCCAACACAGCTCCAAGAATCTCAACTATCTTACCGACTTGGTCTTCGGATAAAGTACTTGCAGAGAAAGACGGATAGTTTGAAGTAAATAAAGATTCTTGTCTTTTAAAAGCGTTGGGCGAATCGCCAGTTGGAAAACCTTGGGCAGGATTTACGGGCTTGAAAACGAAAGGCGTAGCGAATGTAATGTCAGAATTAGGAGCTTTATGTTTTGGCACCTGAGAGTCTTGGAAGTAGCAATCCCAGGGCTCACAACTAGGATCCACCTCTTGTTTGTTGAGAACTACGTTAAGCCAATCAGTTTCTGTATTTTCGACAACACCGTTGCTTTGCGAAGTTATTCGAGCTCTCTTTGTCTGAGGCATGTCAACTTGCATGTCATCACCAAGGTTGTTAGCATTCGGCATTGGCGTCTATAATGAATGTTCTTTATTTTAAAAATTCTATGTTAGAGAGGTGATCTTCTGAAGAGAAAGAGTCTAATGAAGATGGATTTCCAAAAAGCCACCGCCTTTGTGCATATTCAAAGCCGTCTTGTAATAAGAACGGTTCGTGCTTTCGCGATGGAGATAACGGTACTTATAAGTTCCGCCTTCCAAAAATTGCCTACTCGCACTTGCCGCGGAAATTGTATGTTTTAACGATTTATTTGGTAGAATAAGATAACACAAAGCGATGGCGAAGTTGAATGTAGGGCAACATTGTTTTGAGTTTTAATGTCTTTTTCAAACTAACCAGAATCAAATGTTGATTGAGCCACGTGACCAGTGTTTCAGAGGGAAATTTAAAATAAAACAGAAACATTATACAGAGAAGATAAAGTACTTTAAATAAAGGGTATAAACCCCATCCGTGATACATTCATGACCCCATAAAACCGGTTACTCACCTGTTGCTCGAAACATTACCGGGTTTTCAACAAATATAACCGCTGATCCTATCTTGTCACATAGCAATAGGAAGGAGCGCGTATAACCTTCTAAATAGTAACGATCGACGACGACAAAAGTCTTATCACCTATGTGGCAGAATGGAATGTTAGTGGAAATTTATGTATGCTTTTGGAGGGAAATGTGGCGGTTTGTCGTAACACAACTGTGAAGGCAAGTATAAAGTTTTTTTTACAATAACGAAAACATAAAAACTGTCAAAACACGATGATTAGAAACTGCATTGATATAATAGTTGAATTGCATTCAAATTTCTATTTTTCTTTTTTTAAAATATCAATAAATTATAGTTTTCTATTATATAAGTTGAACACATGATATCACTAATAAAGAAATGCGCGTTGTCATCTAAAGTTCCATAAAAAAAATTGAATGAATGAATGAATGAATAAAGGAATTCAAAATAAAAAATAAATAAGAATTAAGAAAAAGGAATTGAAAAAAAGAATCGATAAATTTGTCACGGCTTTGAGGATTTCTTTTTGTAAGTTGGTGACATTTGATAACGCCCCCAAAAAATTTTTTTTCTGAAAAATATAGATGCAATGACATATATATATATATATATATTTATAAAAGAATTTACGTATTGTGTATCTTGATAACTTGGCACAATACTAATTTTTTATTCCATTCTAAGAACCAAACATTTGTAGAACGCCTGTGTTAACATTTAAGGACGTAATTCTTACTTATAAAGCGTTCTTTTCTGTAAAGGAAAAAACCATTATAATCCGTTGCACCAAGAAAAAAAATTTTACAAATTGAGAATGATTTTACAATGAACCTTAATATTTTTTATTCTAATCCAAACTTTTATGTGTTAGGGCTCAGTTCTCTTGTTACATCTTATAATTGTCTTTTAAGTTTAAAGATAATCCAAGACATATAAGGAATCCACAGGTAACTCAAAACTCAACTATCGCGAGCCTTTGTCCCTTAATCCTGTGACTAGTTATTATGCAGCCATTATGAAACTTCTTGCCGAATTCTGTCCCTACATTTTTGAACCCTGAAATCCACGTTAAGCATTTAGTAGAAAAAGGTAGAAAAGAACCATATCAGGTCATCCATTCATAATCCCGTTTTCAGTTTTTCTTTTGTATGCGGGACGGTGATGTAAAAGAGGTCAGTGATATTTCAGGTGATGTTTTCTGTATTTTTTTCTACATTTTTGCTCATAGAAATTTTCCGTATTCTCGTTCATCTTTGAAACGCGGGAAATTGAAGTGTACGTGTTTTATCATACAATATGATTGTGAGGATCTAACCAAATTCGGAATGACTGTATGTCAGAGGCATCAAGTTATCCGGATTGAGCACATGAGAATAAGGTTGGTGTAAAACAAAAAAAGGCAAACAGATGTTTACTCTATCTTATGCCCGTTACCAAATTATTTGCTTGTTACTTGTTACCGATTACTTGTTACCGTATCACGAATTTCGGATCACCAGCCGGCAGTTTTAGCTGATGGAGAGTGTTATTTAATAATCATTCGTCCGAATCTATCCGATTATGGACTCTGCGTGCTGCACTTAAAGACGTAATATTAAAGCGGGAACTTTACGGCCATGATAAAGTACCCCGCTACGATAACGACCATGCCAATTAACGTTGATAGCTCGCATAGGCCAATTATCAAATATATTCTTACTGCAAGGTACCCCAACACGCCTCTAAATGTATATGTATTCCTGACAGAGATGTATCATTTTTATCTATAATACCAGTTAAAAGAATTTCCTTTATTAGCGACTAAAAATACTGCCAATCGTTGATCTTTGCTAAAAGGATTTTTAATGTCATGCCTGAAATTGGTATATCACTAGAAGCTATGCAAGTTATCACATTCCGTGTTAGATTGATATCACATATTAATTTATTATAATAAAACTTTCTAAGATATTTTTATTCATGGGCCAAGAGTTCAAACGCCCTTAGAGGCGATCTTTTCTAGGTATGTACTTCAATGCTTCTCACCCCTTTTTTACAATGTCATTATATTAATAATAAATAATAATAATAATAATAATAATAATAATTATTATTATTATTATTATTAATATATTATTAATTAATTTAATTAATTTATTTATTTATTTACCTTATCTATTTTTTTTTTTTGTTCATTCCTCCAACAATATGACAGATGATGAAAACGCCAAAAGGTCATATTGTTTATCGAATTACTTTACGTTCTGCATGCAACATATAAAATTGCATTAGTGTCAAAGACATTTTAACTTGACCCCACATTTTCAACATTGTATAGTTACTGTTTATGGTAATTCGATAAAAAAAAAAAAAGTTAAGAAATTTGACCTTGACAGTTATTGTATAGTAGTTTGATTTACACCAAAATATTTGTAATAACCATTTACCTAAAATGGATCCAAGCATATTTAAATAACGTATTTCTGCATAATGTATAAAAAGAGAGAATATTTTTCTATTGTCCTATTGTGCTTTATACATCTAGTTACACCACAATACTCATTTACGTACATGGTCCGCGTAGATTAGGTAAAATCATTCAGTGAAATTTGTTAATTGCCAATCATATGAAAATGTATTGAAAAAAAGAGCGCAAAAATATCGTAATCCAGTATTCTTATCCCTATTAATCAGTATAAAAATTTTTCGCGTGGGTTCCACACGACTATACATTCGTCTCATTTAATCATTTAATTATGATTATTCAAAAATAAAAGAAATGTGGAGAAAAATTTCTATTGTCACAAAAAAGTAACAAAAAAAAAAAAAAAAAGATTTCCTGTACCAACTTCACTGCACGATGACGCCCTTTTTCACCCCATATAGATATTCAGTCTTATTGTGCCTTCCATTTCTGCTTCCCACTTCGCGACATCCCAATCTTCATCATCTTTAAGAGAAATCATTTCATCCACTTTATTTTTATAATAAATATTATTGAATGATGATCCAAAACGTTGTTGAACGTGTTCAATGAATTGATTGAAGGAACCTTCTTGAGAAAAAAGTATTGCGCGTCTTTCAGTTAGAAACACGCATGTGATATAGAACTGCAAAAGATTGTTGGATGTCAAAAAAATATTTCTCAAACACGTTTGGTACAGGTTAATGATAAATTAATACCTCTGTGACCTCATTATCATGAACCGTGGATGTGCTATTTACAACAGGATAAAGTACTCCAGGCTCACTTTCGGTGAAAGAAAGTAGATCTTCCATGACTCGTGGCTGCGAAACTGGTGGCTGTGTTTGCGAGTCCGCCAAACTTCCACTTGAACTGATAAGTAAATCTTGCTTTACCTGTGGATTACAAATAAGGAATTGCGCCTTGAATGTTATTGATTACATCATTTTTCAATGGTTAGTTACTTTTTGAAAAAAACGAACCCTCGAACTACTTCCTGGAAATCCATCATCAGTTACTCTAGCCAAATTAAACCGTAATCTTTGCATTCCAGCTTCAACCATCAAAAGGGTATTGTTCTCCACCCAATGCATTGGTTTAAAAAGAATATAAACTGCATCATTTAGTTTTCCGTTAGTCGGATCCGAGCATATTGTTATTATTGGAGGATTTCCATTCCCTTTAGAGTAATGATAGTGCTGATTGAAGAAGGATCGTCAAAGTGCATGGGTCAAATGTGGAGAAACATGAATCATGTGTAGTCAATCGTATCTGTTACACAATTACACGTGTAAATTTACTTTAGCAACTGTACCGATTTTTTGAAATTTCGCTTGAGCTCTATAGCAATCTCTTGATCCTTTGTAATCTTCATTACAACAATTTGATTCAATGGAATAGTAATTTCGTATTCCATATTATTCAAGCTAATTGAAATTAAATGAGAAGTATAACGAAACAGAAATGCAAGCTTGGTCTCTTTTGTTGAGTTGATAAATTCATTTGAAGGAAGAATTTGTATGTGTTTCAAATCAACTTTAATATAAGAAGTTGGATCTTGCAACGTAGAGCCTTTACCTGCCTTTGCAGAATAAATATGGATAGTCTTTAAGAGCTATGACAAAATAATATATATACGGACTCACCCGACAATCCATCAATATTTCCGTCCATTTTTTTATTGATTTTTAATTGGTCTTTTTTGGGCGATTAGCCTGTCTAAGTGAAAAAAATTATATAGTTACTAAAATGCAAATCTATATTCGGCACCCCTTATATGGATAACTGTAGATAAGTGTGATGGATGACGTTTAGTGCCAATATTTCAGAATTTGGGGCACCTGGTATGGACGATCTATCCGAACATATCAGCACTTCATTTTCCGATATACTTTTAAAGATCCCTAATATTATTCTATATATACCGGTATATAATAATATATATATTGATACGAACATGTCATAACACCGCTACCAAAAATTTTTATATCTTTTGTCAAACAGTTTACGATTAAATTTAAGTTTTGAATCTTGTGCCTATAAGATTTAACATTTAATATTGGATAAGCTAATATTAAACCATAACTTAAAGTTTTCTTATGAACATATATAAACCTCATTTATTTTCACTAATAGACGGTATGTAACTTTCCAATGGTACTCCGGAAAAATTTCTAAATGTAATTTTTCATTGAAGTTTTTTTCGTATTGTTCTTCAACGGTTATGGCCGATATTTTTATGCGCGAATCAGCGGCTTCTATCCTTTTTATGGATGCTTAGATAATTTATCATGAGCACAAATGTATATTCAATCTATTATCATTAAACGCAGTCAATAGTTATTTTGAATAGAAAATAGGGAACTTGTTGTTCCACTTACAAAGCTAGTTCATTTTTCTTGCATCATAATATATAAATCTTAAATGAAGTAAGGTTTACTATTCCTAATTTTTATTGGATAAAAAATTACATTTATTATTTGAGGAAATAAAATGCATGTTCGTCCCTCACATGCATTAATAAGTTTCTATATTTTATTAAATTATGCGTGATACTGTAATTGTGTGGAAAAAAAGATGATAATCATTTTTTTTTTATTTTTTTTTTTTTGGCAATTGATATAGATATGAGATGGCACTGAACCAATATTCGATACTTAACATTAGTAATGTCTTCAACAATAAGTTTTTTTTTAATAATAAATTGGTCATATTTGTAATATATAAATAATATATATGCATCTTGATATTTAATTATAACTTTTTTCAACTTTATTAAGATAAAAACTTATTTATACAAATATATACAGTATAATTAAATGCCGATAATACAAGCATTATTTTGAGTAATGGCCTGAATCAAGCTTAATTTAGGCCGAAATTTGAAATTACACCTTTTAAATAATCTATTATTTTAACTGTATATAGATATATATATATAGTTATAACTATTATATATGATGTAGACATTTCTCAGGGTAGTGACTACTTACGTACGACATTACGGCTATGACGTAGAGGTCGCACTATCCCGAGGTTATATTGCCGTGAGGTAGATGCCGTGAGTGAGTGAGGTAGTATGTCGTATAGTATTACTACCCCAAAAAATTTCTCTGGCCGATCAAATTTTGAGAACAGGTATAACTTGTGATGGGACTGAAGATGCTAAAAATTCAACTGTCACACGCCGTGATCCATTAAAAAATTTTTGATTCTTTATAAATTATTGAATGCGACAATTAAATATCACCTATTTTTAATATAGACGCGCGCAAGTCAATTTAATTATAAATTCAAATGCTCAAATATAATTAAGAGCTTTGCTTCATACATGTTGTCGCCTTTCACCAAAGCTTCGTGGTTTCATCTTTCGCCATTTATGAAAATGGTTTCGCCTAACAATTATAAAGGTAAAGAAGCATATATAAATAAGTATATACAAGCTTAATTTGCTATTTTTTAATTTCACCTTATCTTGTCTCTTTGGAGCGACACTTATTAAAATTGGTACGGTATAGAGAAGATTATCATGGCCCATGCACAAGGATGACATGTCAATCTTGTGTGGATGCGCCTTCGGGTGCAAAAATTTTCTAACTTAAAAATTCTCTATTATCCAAAGCCTAAAAAATAACAAAATTCTTTTTTTAGAACAAATTTTAATTGCATGGAATAATATTTATTTACAAACTCAAAAATCTTCAAAAGGCCAAACTCTTTTATAGTACAAACAATTATAAATCTTGGTTTTATCAACTTTATATTAATAATATAGTTATATTTACAACTTGATCAAATAACTTTCTTATTAATATTTAAAAAAACAACTAAAATAGTATACAATTAATTTTTTGAAATTAAGATTTTTAATTAACTTGAATATGATATTGTAATACATGTTATAATTTATTAAAGAAACTAAATTACTTGTGCTACTAAAAAAAATTAAACACCCAGCATTAGAAAATGAAACCATCTAAAATTTTTTTTAACTGTTTCATCAGGAGAAATTTTTTAGTGCTGTTCTGCGCAGATTTACAAAAAAATTAATAATAAATTAAATGACAATCTGTGCAAAACTTCAGACTCACCAGCTATAGCTACAGAAGTTAAATACAGTTCTGCGCAAAATTTCAATATATAAAAAATTTTGCAGTTTTTTGCAAAAAATTCTGCAAAAATCTGCATTTTTGCAGGTTTTTGCAGATTTGCACTTATTTAATTCTCCCGATGTTAATTGTTTAACTATATTAACTATATTAACTATTTAATTTAGCCAGTGTTAAAATTGTTTTGGCCTATAATCAATATAATTCAGTCTAGCATTATTAAAAAATTTTTATAGGGTTAAATAGTTTTAATCTCTACTCAGTATGATGTTTTATCTTTATTTTTTGTTTCTAAGGCTAAAAATAATAACAAGATTAATAAAGTTCTAAAAATAAATAGGTTAAAGAAAACTTTTATAAGATAGAATTTAATATAGAAGTTAAAAAAAGTGATATACTATATTATAGTAAAACTAATTATTAATTATATTTATCTATAATCAATTAACTCTTCCCGATAATTACTTGTACCAAAATTTCTTACTAAAGAAAAACACAAATTTTGTTAGAGAGTCATAGTCTATGTAGCAGTTTGTCTAGAGGTTAACATTTTCTAAGTTCGCAGGATTCTTTTAAAAGATATTCAGCATGCAAATTAGGAGCATTATTATACAAGATAACTAGCAGGTGGTGCTCTTGTATAAAAAATCTTGGTAGAAAGACAAAATCTTTTTTGTTGACGAAGCTCTTAGGCTATTAACAAAAACACTTAGGAAACAACAAATATTTGTAGATTTCAACATATTTCTTTGAAAATTTTGAAAGTACCTAACTTCACAAACCATCTTTTATATTCCTGCTAGGTTTTTTGGTGTTTCTTTTCAAATTTTTTCCAAAAAGTAGGAATTTTGGCATATCTTCTATTAAAGATCGACATTGTTTACATCACCAAATTGGGATGGCAAATCACGAGGAAATCATGCACTATACCCCTGAAGACTGTAGATAGACACATAAACAATAGCAACTTGTTGGTTTTGGATCACTAAGGTAAACAAAAAAAATTTGGTATTCTCCATATATAAAGCATATTTTAATACTGAAGTAAAGCGAATGTGAAGATTGTTTTACAGAGTATTAAATAATTTTTTAAACTTTACCAGCACTAGTGTATCTGGTACTGTTTTGTCTTTGTTTTTTTTCCCTTTTTTTTATCATTTTATTTTATTTTTTTTTATTATTTGGTTTTTGTTTAGGTTTTGTAGTATCTTTCCTTTTTTTATCTATCTTTTATTAGTTTAGTCTTTTTTAGCATACTTGTTGTTTTTGAGACAAGGATTGCGAAATCCTTTTGCTTGGATATTAAGAAGAGGAGGTCTTAAGGAAATTAGCAGTCATGACAAGCTATAGTGCTTACTGTTGATATCCCTTAATATTGTTACAGAGTAAGGCCTTCTTAATTTACTCTATAACGACGACACGGCACAGGGAATCCTTTCGTAGGTATATGCGGTGTCCAAGAGGTAAG